TATGGCCCTGGAGTGCAGTGAAGGATGACCCAAGTTCTTGGGTCCTGCACCCCATGGGAGACCAGGAGAAGTACCTGGCTCCTGGCTTCAAATCAGCACGATGCGCCGGCCGTAGCGCACTGGCCACAGCGGCCATTGGATGGTGAACCAACAACAAAAAGGAAGATCTTTCTCTCTCTCTCTCTCACTGTCCACTCTGCCTGTCAAAAAAATGAAGAAAGAAGGAAGAAGGAAGAAGGAAGAAGAAGAAGAAGAAATGACCACTTCTCCTAGGTTTCCAAGAAGTGTCACTGGCAGACAGGGGAAGAACAAGTTGGAAGAAGTCATTACCAAGTCTGGTTTTACACAAGTTGCATTGGAGGTACCGATAATCACCATGCCATATGGCAATGACTTCCCTGCTGTCTAGAGAACCTGTGACTTGGAAATTCTACTAGGTGGCTACTTGTCTGCCTTTTGTCAATGGTATCCAGGGTCCCTGACACAGGTGGCACCGTGTTAGCCATGATTCAACCATGCAAGAAAGTCCTCACGTCTTCAGGCTTTATCAAACATGAAGCTTAATTATTCTTCATAATGCTTTTTTTGTTTTTGTTTTTGGACAGGCAGAGCTAGACAGTGAGAGAGAGAGACAGAGAGTAAGGTCTTCCTTTCTGTTGGTTCACCCCCCAAATGGCTGCTACGGCCGGCGTACTGTGCCAATCCGAAGCCAGGAGCCAGGTGCTTCCTCCTGGTCTCCCACGTGGGTGCAGGGCCCAAGCACTTGGGCCATCCTCCACTGCCTTCCCGGGCCACAGCAGAGAGCTGGCCTGGAAGAGGAGCAACCGAGACGGAATCCGGCGCCCCAACCGGGACTAGAACCCAGGGTACCAGTGCCGCAGGCGGAGGATTAGTCAAGTGAGACGCAGCGCCGGCCACATCATGCTTTCTTAAAAGAAGGGATACCTGTTTTACCATGAAGTCTGACACAGATGCAGAGACGTCTCAGGAATTTCCCTAGTCACTGGCATCGAAGTCCAAATTTAAATGTGGATACTTTGTTGTTTACAATTTTAAAAACTAAAGAAATTCTCAAGAAAAGTATTATTGTGGCTTGACTCTGCAATGTCATGGAAATCCCATGTGGATATATGTGTATGTAAACATATACACATACAGACATGAGGACAGATGTTAAGAATGAAAAGAGGGGGAAATTTTTCCAGTACAAAAAAGCAAAACCTATGTTTAACAGTAACAATAACTGAATGCTACATAAGGATAGAACCAAGTATCACAATGTCATAAATTCAGTATATCAAACATCTGGTTTAAGTGTTTTTTTTTTTTTTTTTTGAAAGATTTTATTTATTTGAAAGACAGAGTTACCGACAGAGGTAGAGACAGAGAGAGAGGGGTCTTCCATCCACTGGTTCAACCCCAGATGGCTGCAACGGCTGGGGCTGTGCCACTCCAAAGCCAGGAGCCAGGAGATTCCTCCGGGTCTCCCACGTGGGTGCAGGGGCCCAAGGACTTGGGCCATCTTCTACTGCTTTCCCAGGCCATAGAAGAGAGCTGGATCGGAAGAGGAGCAGCCAGGATCAGAACCGGCGCCCATAAGAGATGCCAGCGCTGCAGGCCAGGGCTTTAACCTGCTGTGCCACAGCGCCGGCCCCTGGTTAAATAATTTGTTGCTTGGAATGTTGCTTAAACATCTCTCTTCTCAATTAAAAAGTCTTCCTCTACAGTTTCATCCTGTGATTCTTCTCTAAAAAGTGAAAAAGAATAGGCTGATTTTTTGTATGGGCTCTAGGATTCTCAAAGTAAACTGTCCCAATGGGACAGTCTGAATTCTGAGACATTGTATAAAGTGTGCTCTGAGGTAGCCCACCTCTTAGGTTGGAGAGAAGGGTCAAGACTCCCAAGAATCCCACACAAAAGAGAAGGAGGTCAATTCTCCTTAAAAAGAATATAGTATAATCAGAAGTATCCATTTCTCCAAAATACTAGCAAAATAAAACTGCTATACTGCACCAGCCAGTCAACTAGAAACATGGGGGTCTCCCCAACACTACAAAAGATCTCAATGTTCTCTACAAGAACCAGAGAAAGGTAAGGTCATTAATGTCTACTTTTTCCACTTGCCCATTTATATTTTTCTCCATGTCTCTTAACAGGCTTGGTGAGCCACATACCTGAGGACAGGTTTCCTGGAGGGAGACTGGAAACCTGGGATGTGTCCAGTGGAGGGAGAAGGGGTAGGGGATATTCAGAATTCTTTTACCAATCTGCTTCCATTTTTCATGTTCCTAACCCCGCCACACATAGAAATGAGAGAGAAGACTTTAAAGAACTCTTAGATGTATTCCAGACAAAAATGCTAAGAACCTGATAAAAGCCAAACATAACTGGTCCATCCAGTAATGTTAGGATCAGACAGAACACAGTTGTATACGACAACAGAAATCTGTTCGACTAAGAGGCCCTAATTTGATCTGCAAGGTCATGGCTGGGGCCAGAGCCCAAGCTGCCTGTTTCCCAGCACGAGGTGAATTTTTTCTAAGACACAATCAACTGGTCTACTGCTGCTCAACAATATAAAGAAATAAATGACTAGTTCTGGCAATAAGGACCAGAGAAACATGGAATTAGACAGCTTAAAGATAACGAGAGTGAGGAAAATTTTCTGCTGGGAAAAAAATACACAGTAATACACCTTTAAAAAAATTAGTTCTGGGGCTCGTGCTGTGGTGCAGTGGGTTAAAGCCCTGGCCTGAAGCGCTGGCATCCTCTATGGGCACGGGTTTGAGACCCAGCTGCTCCATTTCCGATCTAGCTCTCTGCTGTGGCCTGGGAAAGCAGTAGAAGATGGCCCAAGTCCTTGGGCACCTGCACCCTCATGGGAGCCCTGGAAGAAGCTCCTGGCTCCTGGCTTCAGATCAGCTCAGCTCCAGCCGTTGTGGCTAATTGGGGAGTGAACCAGCGGATGGAAGACCTCTTTCTTTCTCTTTCTCTCTCTCTCTCTCTCTCTCTCTCTCTCTGCCTCTCCTCCCTCTATGTAACTCTGACTTTCAAATAAACAAAATCTTTTAAAAAAATTAGTTCTATGGCGAGGACATGTGCTTTGTTAAAGAATAACATAACTTAAAAGTTATAGTTCTGTGAATGATTTGGACTTGTACATGGTATGCTTTACTCAAACTTACACTCAAGGGCAGTAAATTATTCCAGAAAACAAGTTCACAAAAACAAAACATCAGAAAAAACTCAGGAAGCATTAAATTGAGTTGGCCTTGCCTTTGTGGAAAACAAACAAAAAGTACTGGCATTTCTTTTAAGGGGCATTTAAGGAAAAATTTAAAAGTCAAAAAAGCAAGACTGAACCTTAGCAGCTGAAATAATGTAATTGAGGGGCCTGTGCTGCAGCATAGCAGGTAAAGCCGCGGCCTGCAGTGCCAGCATCCTATATGGGCGCCAGTTCAAGTCCTGGCTGCACCACTTCCAATCCTGCTCTCTGCTACGGCCTGGGAAAGCAGTAGAAGATGGCCCAAGCCCTTGGGCTCCTGGACCCCCCTGGGAGATCTAGAAGAAGCTCCTGGTTCCTGGCTTTAATCTGGCTCAGCCCTGGCCATTTCAGCCATTTGGGGAGTGAACCAGCAGATGGAAGACCTCTCTCTCTACCTCCGCCTCTCTATAACTCTGCCTTTCAAATAAATTTAAAAAATCTAAAAACAAAATAATGTATTTGAGAAAGAAATTCTAAGCATGTCATATAAGTCTATTCCTATTTATTCAGCCTCTTAAAACTAAAGCAACAAAAACAGACTTTCCACCAAATCAAATGCAGTCCAGATGCTTAATTCTATTTCAAATTTTGCTTAAACTCTAGGATTGTCAAACCAGCCCCAAATATACAGTGGCTACTTAAATGCCTCTCTTTGTACTTGTATAAGAGGGTCCTTCCCTGGCAGAGTCAGAACCTGCACTATTTCCTTTTATAGATATATAATTTATAAGGTTAAAAAAACACAGTCCTTATAAAATATACTAGGACAAAACTCACTGTTTCTGTCAGAGAAAGTTGACTAAGGATTTATGGTCTGTTTTTGTTTCCTTAAGATGATGAATATTCAACCAACCCGTGGATCATGAAACACATTTGACCAAAAAGAAATGTGGTCTTTAAACAAATTGCTTCCAACCTCTATGCAGGGAAGCCATAAGAATGTTCCACTGAGGAGAGAAATCACACACCAATGACAAGGGTACTGTAGGTTTAATCTGCTATAGGCAACTCAAGTACTCAGCTTTCTTGAGGCAATCCATGCCGAGTTTTGAGCAAGGGATGTGAAAACTATGTTCACCTGATGTTAAAGGAGGTGCCTATGTACAATCCCAATAAACGAGAACAGAACAGCCACATGCTGCCTGAAGTGCCACACATTCTAGAAGATGGAAATCCAAGCAGGTTCATCTATATCACACCCACCCAAGCGACAGCATACCCCGAGGACATCATTTTCCCAACATTCCCAGTCACTCTGGAATAGCTACTCTAAGTTTTCTGTGTGAAATATCTTTATGTGCATATGGCTAAGGTCCCAGCTGTCTGACTATGTGGGAAAAGCTACCCAGCCAGTCATAGGGCTCAGGCCAATCGTCAACAATTTCATGGGTTAACAGCACCAATCAGGACTAAGTGGTTTATCTGTTGTTCAACAAGCTGTACTTTCTGAAGATGTTTGAAGGTTTTCATTCTTCGTAAGTGAAAATAAAAGCATCATTTCTAATGGTCCTATCCATTATTCTGTATAGAACTGGCAACAAATACCGCACTTCCTTAAAGATGCCAGAGCCTAATTTAGTTCAACAGGATGTGTTGTTCAAAAAGAAAAAGAAAACAGGAATGAATATACTTTACAGCCAATTGCTTGGTAAATGTAGCTTCCAAATAACAGTTAGATGTCTGTAATGCAAACCCTGCCATCATTGAATCTCTCTCTGCGTTTTACTTTACTTACTTGTATTTTAAGAGCAGCCACTGAATTAACCAGAGTCCTACAAGGATCATGCCGTTAATTTCACAAATAGAAAAGGCCCACTGCACCCGGTTAAAATGGTCAAAAAATGTGTCCGGTAGTGGAGGCTGCACCTCCTTAGGAGGTACTCGTTCATGGACGACCGAGATCATCACTGTGGTGAGAATAAAACAGGAAAGTGCATAAAGAAAGGCCAGAAAAGTCTTGCCCCACTCCATGGGGTACTGGGAGCGCTCTGGTTCTGGCATGGGGATCTTTATCATCTCTTTCCTATACCCATTTGGCATCCCATTGGGTTTAATCTTGATGCTGAAGCTGCCGTCAGGGGCGGGGAGGGCTACACCAATGTTGAGGTGCCCGTTGGCATGGCCGTTCTTGTGTGCTTCCATGTGGTGCTCCATTTTCAGGGTCTCTATCATGTCCAGGAGCCGCTGCCCGTTGTCGGAGGAGACCCGGCACAAGGGGGGTTTTCTGAAATCCTCCTGGGTTAGGTTGATCAAATCCCGGCCTGTAAAATGTCCCAGAGGCTCACAGTATTCTGGCATGGCATGCTCCAGCAGCCAGTCTGCCACCTTCTGGGGTGACCAATAAACCACTTCCTTCATTGTACTGGCAGACGACATGCAGCCTCCAGCTCGCTCTCGGCAGGTCAGCAGTCACTGTTCCTACAGGGCAGGACACTGTCCCTCCTTGGCTCATTCATGCTGTCAGCTCCCATGAGCGGAGACTTGTTTGGCAAGATGGTCAGGGCAGGTATTAAACACCTCATGTAGCTGTCCAGGGTTCCTGAGATCCCGAGCACTAATTCACCTCATTTTTCAACACGAGTCTTCCTTCTGCAGAGGCAAGAGAAAAGATCAAGATGGTGGGACTCGCAGACCAATCACCTCAAAATGCAAAACCTTAGAGGCAACATGGAAAATGGAAACTCTATGATTGGTAACCCCACAGCATTCAAACACATATTATTATTTTTTTTTTCCTAGGGACCATGGATTCCCTGGTTACTAGTCTTCCCTGACACTGCATCAAACTGGATCTGAATATGGATAAGGTCAAAGGGGACATGTTCTACAGGACTTCCAAGGGGACATTTTCTAGGAAATAATTCAACGGTGCTTTAGATACTGTCCACACAGACCAGCAATTCTCTTTGGACTTACATGCTTCTGAGATAATCTGAAAGAACATGGAAAATTTGTTTATCATTCTTTCTGGTGAAGACTGTTTTACAATGTGCATAATCCTCAGCAACTTAATACAAAGGGCCTTCAAAAAGTTCAGGAAATATGTTTATAATGAACAAAAAACTATTTGTACACTTCAGTCTTTTTTGCACCAAAATAAACTTATCTTTTAATTCTCTTTCCACAAGTATTATGAAGAAAATTAATAGGAACACTGAACTTCAAGATTATTTGGCCCAATAATTCTGTACTCCTTTATGAAAAAAAAAAAAATCATTGAATTCTCTTTTCTAGATGTTCTCAGGTCCTGACTGTGCAGGGTTATCAGTGCAGGTGTTTGGGTTGAAGGACAGGTGGAAGGAAGGGCAAAGGTCCTGCCTGCTCTGTTGATCTTTCTACTCCCAGCCCCTAGGATTTCTGTGGAACCACAGTTTGAGAATCCAGGATCTGACCTATCTCCCCATTTATAAATGAAGAATCTGACTTCTAGAAAGGTCAGGGAACTTGCCTTATTTCAAGTCACTTTTCAAGTGACAGAGAACCTGAACAAGGAAATTAAAAGTTAAATTTCTGACTCTGGGTTCACTTTACTTATTAAAATACTCAGCCAATAATATGGCAGTAACCAAATACATTCTGCTGTCCAAAAGCAGGATTAAACCATTTATAAAAAAATATTATAAATGTAGTATATATTACCCTTTCACACTGACACTTGGTGAACTCAACAGTGCATAAAACAAATGGAAAGAAATGCATCAGTTATTAATTGAGGTTAACATGATGGTGATTTTTGGAGTGTTTTCTACTTTTGTCCAAACCATTTTTCTTTAAAATGAAAAACAAGAAAAGTTCACAACAAGAGCCCTGATTCCCCAACAAAGCATCATGGTTAATGGCACAGGGCCTGTGGCAGCAGCCCATGCATAACCCATTAGGCAAGCTTCAGTTTTTCCACCTGTAAAGTGGGGAGGATCATCAATGTTTCCCTTACAGCGTTGTCAGTGCTTAACTATGAAAGCGTATTTGAAAGCTGATGAAACATAACCTAGCTTTCAAAGCAGTGCTTCTGAAGAGTCTGCCGGTACACATACCACTCTGTTCCTTCTTCAAATTGTCTATCAAATCCAACAGCCACTCTCTACTCTATCTCACTACGAAAATACCCTCAGCACCAGGGGCTGAAATAATCAACGTTAACTACAAAACAAATAGCACGGACAGATCTGAAGGTTTAAGAGCTGAGAATGACTAACGACACTGGCTCCTTAAGTAAGTTCTTGTGGCGTAATCACCGGATAAAATGTTCCATGCTTTATTAAAAAAACTAAAGCCAAATAAGCCTAGGAACTGCACAGTGAAATCTCTCTTGGCAACAGCAGTACATTAATAGGATGTTAAAAGCTCAATGAAATTTTCCAGTAAAGAAACTTCTCACCAGGATTTCTCAAATTGATTCCATCAAGGCTGTCTTACATCTTCATCTCTGGCTCATCCCTACTAAACCCCAAAATTTGACTATGGAATGAGGACAAACACTATGTTTCCTGCTCATTTCTTCATCCAAATAACAACCAATCAGTGGCAGCAACAGTTTTCAAAGATATTCCAGGACATACAAAAGAACTGGGCATTCCCTCTGGCGAGCATCGCCAGTGTCATGTGCCCTCCCTAGCACCCCTTCTTGTGGCCAGGTGTCTGTCTAGACTTCCCCAGGAACCTCTGCAAAACTGTGGAAGAGCTATAACCTCCAGCACCACCACATGACTCACATGTCCAGGGCTCAGGAGGTAGTCAGTGTGTGCTCACATCTCTGAGAATCTGACAGAACCAGCAACACATTTCACAATCTCATGGAAAGCAAACCAAACCTATTGAAAATTCACTGAGGTAAAACAACTGCTTTTAAACAACCTGGATGGTCAAGGACAATAAGATAGGCATTCTCTGCAGGGAAATATATAAGCAGAGTGAACCTCTGACCACTTCTAGTGCCACCAGTACTGCCCATAGAGCGACGAGAAGACACTCCTGGCACAAGGTCTTGCAGGTAAGGGCATGTCCTTGGCATCAGACTCAAGGCATCTTCTTAAATTCTCCTCAGCAGGCTTTGAGTGACAGCCAAGGTAACCCCAAGCCCAAGATCTTGGGTTGGTGGAACATTCAGGCCCAGAGGAAGTGAACTCACAGGCTTAACACCTAAGCTCTTCATTTTTCTCCTGACCTCATAGAAACTCTGCCAGGACAAGAAACCCCCTCAGAGGCACAGAAATTAGACCTAGGCTAAAGCACTATTTTACTTCTCTCTGATGAGAGGAACAGTCACACAGTCTCCTCTTAATGACTAATAAACTTTAAAGCAGAAAAAACAACCACATAGGAAAAGACAATTTAATGTAGGGCATCAAGCATCCATCTGGCACTGCAAGCATCCAACTAATCTTGCAAAGGTGAGTTGTCAAGCAGTTTCAGAGAGCCAGAGGAATGCCCAAGAGACAGCAAGATAAGTTTGCGACGCCCATCAGTATTAAATCAGGCAACAAAATCATTGCCTCCTTTGGACAGTCCCTTTGCATCCCTCTGACTTTGGACTCTCCATCTCCTCCTCCTCAACAAGGCCCAAGTCTTCCCTTCATCTTTAATCGAGGCTCTATTCTGTACAAGCTTTTCTGGCCACTCCACAATTTCCTTTTCCCGTGCCCAGATGTCCACCTAAGTGACCCCTGTCAGGGAGAGGGAAGGGGGGGAGCAGGAGAGGGGGAGGAGGAGAGGGAGCGGGAACAGAGCAGGAAAGGGGGAGAGGATGAGAAGGTAAAGGCAAAGTATTATTTTTACATCTAGACCCAGCAGACTGCATGTGAGGCTGGGTTCAGAAAACAACCACTACACCATCACTGAGAAAAACACTGAATTTATTATTGGAAGAATGTTCAGAAATAACACATGGCCCAAACTATTAGATTTACTTCTCAGAACTGGGAAGAATAAAAGAGAAAAACAGTGTACATAAACTCTTCACCCCCAGATATCACAGAATTTGAGATATAAGAAGTGCTGGGACTCTTGTTTAACTATAATTTTGAGATAAAGAATAGTCCAGTGAGATTATAAATTATCTAAAATCTCATACACAGCAAAAAGTTGGCCCTGAGGCTACAAGAGACTCAAGATGCTTTTTAGCACGCTTCTACTGTAAAATAGTCAACAACTTCAGAGAAACAGAGTTCAAAAGTTCTTTTAAAAACGGTGATAGCCTATAGGATAGGAGGCAGAAACAGCAGCACATGTTCATAAACAACTAAGCAGGATTGTCTATCTGGCTTCAACTGAGTCAAAGAAAATTTACTCAAGTCAATTTGGCTCCAATTCTTAAAATAGATATTTTAGTCCTAACATTAAAAACTCATCAGATGATGTGCCATGACAGAGTATGAGTTATTTAAATTTAACTGTCAGTACAAGGCCTTTAAAACTAAAAAACAGGTTAAAGTAATTATTTTAGCAATGGAATAAAAATAGCCAAGCAAAATCATTAAATAATTTATAAATATTTGTTCACCTTTTTTAATGAAAGTGTTATTTAATTCTTTGAAAGAGTTACAGAGAAGGAGACAGAGAGAAAAAGAGAGATCACCTACTACCAGTTCACTCCCCAAATGGCCACAATGGGCCAAACCCAGCAGCCTGGAACTCCATCAAGATTTATCCTTTCTAAAACAATCTATTATCCTGTTATCTGGCATTGTCTAGAAATAAGACAGTGTTGTGTTAAAATAATCTACTGTCTGAATTACAAACAACCCAAGTTTTTGAGAATTAGAATGTCACAAAGTAAGCCTTAGAACTATCCATGGAGCAATTGCTCAGAAAACCCCACTGTAATGCTTGTTCTATCATTGACTTGTACTCCAACCCCAGTGCCTTATTATAGCCTCTCATTCTATCAGTTAAGGGAACAAGTCCCTAAAGGTGATCTGGAAAACATAAATCAATACACAAAATATAAGAAACTATTATACTGAACATAACTTATTCTTTCCTTGAAGATTCAATGGACTTTTGAAATGGGTGCCATGAAGTTAAGAACTGAAAGTTAACATAATTTTCTAAAGTATGATGGACCGAAATCTAAGCAAACACAGCTGGCATGACAGTGAAGAAACTGCAGGGAAACTACAGGGTTCTGGAGGTCTCTAAATGCTGATCATGACAAACAGAAGTGGGAAGCAGTGCATCATTAGTCTTAGATGCACACGTACAGTGAACAGAACTTTCCACTTCTCCTATCCCATCTCTAACAACAAAAGCAAAGCTAACACAGAGTATCCATATGCCTTTAATAGCTCATAATAATAATTTGGTGGGCATTAACATTTTGCTCAGACTTCATAACACACAACTATCTGTGGGTACTTTGCCAAGAGTGCAATAAAAATCAAGAATTGATGCTATTTTGAAACACCCCGGCTGCCCTATTGTAAAAGTTTCAATTTTAGATAAAGGTCTATACATTTACTAGAACCTTCTATAAAAGTCAGTAATAAGCTAAATGACCTTTTAAGACAATGCAGCCCACTGAAATACTCGTGAGATAAGTGTTTAATTTTTCTCTATTTCAATTTGGATAGCTCCTGGATGCCTTTCTCCAA